AAAGGACTCCCCTTTAAGCCCGCCCCCAAGTGACTTAATTTCAGCGGGAGCGGAAGCGGAAATCCCGGTGGGGTCATAGAGTCGGCTAGTTCCGGTTCCCAGGCCACGGTCCTGGCTAGAGCGCCTCTCCTCGGGCGGCCGTCCCTGTCCCCTGCCGCTTCTATTTCCGGGTGCGGCTTCTGTCATAAAGCGGAGGCCTTTTTTCCAACGTGGCGTCGTGAGTGTTTCGCGCCCCGCAGGGCAGAGGTCCGCGCGCGAGCTCAGGCGCGGGCGTTTGGCAGCCAGCAGCGGGAGCGGGTCCTGGCGTGCCGGGCCCGCGCTGCCACCTCTAACCCCTCCGAGCTTGCGGGCTTTTAAGCTCTCACGATGGAGAGTCCCTGATCCGCAGCCTCCAGGACCGCAGCTCCCGAGGAGAGCTCCTTCGCCCATGCCGGTGCCCCGTAGGCATGCTCTGCCCTTCGAGGCGCAGCATCTGACAAGTCACCCCCACCCCACACACCACGGCCACCCGCGTCTGCCTTAATTTCGTTCTTAATCTCCTTAATTCGAGACCCCTCCCCCGCTCTGCCTCCAGAAGAGGTCTTTTTTTCCCCGCCCAGTTCTGTAAAAGGACTTTTGGGCCTCCTGCAGAAAGATCACCTTTAGGACTGAGCACCTCTTTGGTAACTAAAACAAATTCATGCTTACTAAAGGGCTTGTGGGTAAAGCGAAACCCAGTGCACATAGGAAACTATGGCTGAGCATGGGGCTCACATCACAACTGCTGCTGTGGTGGATGACCAGCCATCCATCTTTGAGGTGGTAGCACAGGACAGTTTAATGACAGCAGTGAGACCTGCTCTTCAGCATGTGGTCAAGGTAAGGTATTAATTCTCTAAAAGGTTTTAGGGACGACTGGGTAAAAAAAAAAAAAAAAAAAAAATCAAACCAGTAACACGAGTTTATTCAGTTGCCTAAGTTTTGAAATTGCCAATTAGCATATAATTCATTTCCAGAGATTTAACAGTTTTTGAGTCCCTGTTATAAGAGTCCTGTACTGAATACGCAGCACTTCAGGGACAATAGGGCAGACCCCGAAAGAAGCAATTTGTTTAAGCCCAAAGTATCAGAAATTAGAGGGGGGAAAAAAAGGAAATGTGAATATGAAATGGAATGAAGTTTACTAATTTACTAATTTGCTTTAGGTTCTTGCAGAATCAAATCCTGCCCACTATGGCTTCTTTTGGAGGTGGTTTGATGAAATCTTCACCCTGCTAGATCTTCTGCTCCAGCAACATTACCTGTCTAAAACTAGTGCCTCATTTTCTGAAAATTTTTATGGCTTGAAGCGCATTGTAATGGGAGACACACACAAGCTTGAGAGACTGGCCAGCGCTGGTCTCCCAAAGAAGCAGTTTTGGAAGTCAATTATGTTCCTGGTTCTTTTTCCCTACCTGAAAGTTAAGCTGGAGAAGCTGATTTCTAGCCTGAGAGAAGAGGATGAGTATTCTATCCATCCCCCTTCTTCCCGCTGGAAACAGTTTTATAGAGCCTTCCTGGCAGCCTACCCATTTGTAAACATGGCATGGGAAGGCTGTTTTTTTGTACAACAACTTCGATACATCCTAGGGAAGGCTCAGCATCATTCACCACTGCTGAGGCTGGCTGGAGTTCGGCTAGGTCGACTTACAGTTCAGGACATACAGGCTCTGGAGCACAAGCCAGCTGAAGCCAGCATGATGCAGCAACCAGCCAGGAGGTAAGGCTTTAACATTTCCCAGAATCTTACACTAAGAAATTCTAAAACCTTAACCTAATTTTATGAAACTCACCCTCCTTGGTCCACTTTGAGGTATTTCATAAATCACAGAAAAATTCTTATGTTCATAAAACCAGAGTTGCCATCCTGGTAACCTTCCTCCTTATACTAGCTACATTTTTGTGCATGGCTTGCTGTGTGCCAGGCCCTGTGCTGTTTGATTTACGTACATTATCTCAATCCTCATCACAACTCCATGAAATAAATTCATTACCCTGTTTAACGCTTGATGAAACTAAGCCCTATTAGCTAGGTACCTTGCCAAGGCCACATAGCTAGAAGGTGGGAGAACTGAGATTCAAGCCAGATCAACAGTTCTCTGTAAGACTGTACTCTTAATCACAATGCCACTGTTTCTAGTTGGTATCTGTACGCTCCTACAAATTCAAATATATATTCCTCAATATTGCTAGGTTATTTTTTGTTAAGTGAGCTACTTTTTTCTGGATATTCTATCACACACACACACACAATCAATATAATCAGTATCTCATTAATTTTTTTCTCTAAACAAAAACAAAACTCTAGTCATTAAATACAAAGTTTAGCTCCTGTGCTCCCAAAATAGTGTAAGTAAGAAAAAGGAAATCATTTAGAATAGACACTAAAGGAGACCGTGCCAATCTAGCAGGTACTCAAACTCCAAAGTGAATCAGTAATTCTGATGACAAATATAAGAGCTACATTGATATCGGTCACTCTGTGATCAAACCTAAACAGTTTCTCCTTTTGCCTCCTTGTTCTATTCTCCCACCAGTGTTGGTGACAAAATAAAGTCATCTCTGAAGAAAGCTCTGGGAGGTGCTGCCTTAACCCTGTCTACTGGCCTTTCTGTGGGAGTATTCTTTCTGCAGTTCCTTGAATGGTGGTACTCCTCTGAAAATCAAGAAACAATCAAATCACTGACTGCCCTGCCTACTCCTCCACCACCTGTACACCTAGACTACAATTCCGATTCTCCCCTGCTACCCAAAATGAAGACTGTGTGCCCACTGTGTCGTAAAACCCGGGTGAATGATACTGTTCTTGCCACCTCTGGCTATGTGTTTTGTTATCGCTGTGTGTTTAATTATGTAAGGAGTCACCAAACTTGTCCCATAACAGGTTATCCAACAGAAGTACAACATCTAATTAAACTGTACTCCCCTGAAAACTGAAAGGAATCAGCATTTTATCTCACAACAAAATTATTGCACATAAGGCTGAAAAACCGATTTTCAGCATGGTACCTAGCATTGATTCTTCTAATCCTCAATTCATAATTATAAGAACTTTACACAAGTAGAGTTGACCCCTGAATGATGTGTGTTAATGGTGCCGATACCACCCGCCCCCAGTAGAAAAATTTATGTGTAACTTTTGACTCTCCCAAAACTTAACTATTAATAGCCTACTGTTGACCGGAAGCCTTACCACTAACACAAACAATTAACACATTTTCTGTTATGTCAGATGTATTATATACTGTATTCTTACAGTAAAGCTAAAGAAAATATTAAGAAAATTATAACAGAATATAGTACTGTACTATAAAAAATCCACATACAAATGGACCCACACAGTTCAAATCTGTGTTCAAGGGTCAACTGTATATGGATTTCTTTAAAAGGATATATCCATTGATCTAAACCTTTTAACCTGCTCTCTAGACTCCTACTTAGAGTTTAGCAAGCTGGTTAGAATAAGAGAATCAGGATTGACAGGGGACATGAAGGTCAGTGTAGAGGAAGAAGATGAAAGAGGATAGTACAGAAGCTTTTCCTTGAAGCAAGAGGTATAGAAGCTCTCAGGAAAAAACCCAAGTTAGACCTCATAAAGTGGGTGATGGGGAAGCAGGCCTTTTCTTGAGAAAAGCATTTATCTGCCTATGAGGAAGAGATTTTATCAATGTGCAAACAATGTGAAATGTGGACCTACTCTTTATAGAAATAATTAGAAACACTTTAGAAAAACAAAGCACCTTCCATATACTGTGATCCACTTGTTAAGTAGCATCTGCTGTAGTATATCAACTTTTAAATAAGATTCCTTTATGAGCCATACGTATCTTTTCTTGGGAAACTGGTTAAAGAAAAATAGCAGTTGAGGGTAATACTGAGCAGTTTGAAGATTTAGGTGTGAAAGCAAAACTAATAAGCAATCAAGAGATGACATAAAATACTGATTTAACTATGTGCAAAAGAATCTTTTAATAAGGTCTTTCTTCTTGTTAAGAGTTTGCTAAATAGGCACAAATTATTCTGGCTATTACTAAGTTTCTATGAAACGCTTAAGTAAATTTTAAGAATAAATGTTTTTGGCAAAGAGGTGTCCCGAGTTTCATGGTTATGTGGAAACTTAACAAGTACTTGCTTGAGGTGGGGGTACCTGGGTGGCTCAGTCGGGTAAGTGACATCCAACTCTTGGTTTTGGCTCAGGTCATAATCTCAGGGTTGTAAGATCAAAGCCCCACAGGGGGCTCTGCTGCTCAACATGGAGTCTGCTTGGGATCCTCTCCCTCTCCCTCTACTCCTTCCCCTTCTTGCTCTTTCCCTAAAATCTTTAAAAAAAAATTGAGTTGTTTAAAGCACATTTTTCCTTCAGACCATCTTTGAGGTATTTTTGTATTGACATTTTGCTTTTTCTGCTAATCCAATTCTTGGAGGGAAAAAAACCCTCTATTCCAGCAGCAAGAATTCAGCATTGTGTGAAAGTCCCCGTATTACAGAAACACTTAATTTGCTTATGTAGTAAAATTCATGCCACTGGATTATCAGGTTGGTGAAGATATATGGGTAGAGAAAGGATGAAAATAATTTAAGCACCTCTGCTGAGAGAGATGTTTTCTAATATTTAGCAATTCAAAGCACATTCTCTGATAGCGCAAAGTTAATAAAATTAAAATTTGAAATGGAATAACTTACAGATTTAAAAACACTTTTCTGGGGACGCCTGGGTGGCTTAGCGATTAAGCATCTGCCTTCAGCCCAGGGCGAGATCCTGGAGTTCCAGGATTGAGTCCCACATCGGGCTCTGTGTGTGGAGCCTGCTTCTCCCTCTGCCTGTGTCTCTGCCTCTCTCTTTCTGTGTCTCTCATGAATAAATGAAATCTAAAAAAATTAAATAAATAAAATACAAACACTTTTCTGTACCATAAGAATATAATGGGTATTTGTTAAAGTTCTTGTTAAATCCCAAGGTTTTACCAAAACAAACACCACAGTTAATTAAACATTTTTAATATAGTAATAAATCAGTAAGAAAACTGAACCAGATTCAGGATTGAAATAATGTAGTCCTCCATGAAGATATCAAAGCCAGATTTTTCACCTCTACCTAAGAAGAAAAACATGAAACATAAAAGTATCAGCAATTCAAGAGTATCAAAGAAACACATAATAATAAATATATAATAATAAAAGCAGTATCCAAATAGATTGAGAACATTCCAATGTGGAAAAACCAGAATCAGCTCAGAGAGAAGATTATGGAATCATACCCTGGTCAAAGCCAACACTGAAGCAATGGCAATACCAGGTCAGACGATACTTCACTCATCATCGCATCATTGCATTTCACGTCCTTATAAAAGCAACCCTATTTTCACATCTAAGAAGACTTACGTTAACCTATTAAATAAAGGCTTCTTTATAGATAAGTTTCAAGCATGGACTTTTGATAAATATTTTATTTTCCACTATGGTTGCTTTAAAGACTCTGCTGTATGGGGGATCCCTGGGTGGCGCAGCGGTTTGGCGCCTGCCTTTGGCCCAGGGCACGATCCTGGAGACCCGGGATCGAATCCCACATCGGGCTCCCTGCATGGAGCCTGCTTCTCCCTCTGCCTGTGTCTCTGCCTCTCTCTCTCTCTCTCTGTGACTATTATAAATAAATAAAAATTAAAAAAAAAAGACTCTGCTGTATGAAAATACAAACTTAAGTTTTGGTTTGGAGGAATTTTTTTGTTTTTGAAATATAGAATGGAGAAGCATTTATGATTCAAAAACTTTAATAAACCCAAACACAATGCATGAAAAAATTCCAGGGATGTCAAAGATTTTTCTATACTAAATTTCATTATAAAGTAAACTCCTGTTCATTTAATATACAATTTGATTTACAATTCTGCAGCCAACAAAGATAAAAAGTATAAAACTTTTATACTGGAATCTTCTATCGTAAGAGTGCTAGACCCAGAGAGGCTATGTTCTGGCAAAGTCCACAGCAAATTAACAGTAGAGCCAGAGAGAGAACAGAGATCTGATTACCAGATTTATATTTTTCCACTACCAACTAAATATGGAGTTTAATTTCATTTTTCTCCAGGCCATGGGCAAGATAAAAGAAGCAATGCAAGGGTGCCTTGCTGGCTCAGTCAGTGGAGCATGGAACACTATCTTAGGACTGTGAGTTGGAGCCCCACACTGGATGTGGATTACAAAAAATCTTAAAAAAAAAAAAAAAAGGCAATGCAAAGTCTAGGTAATTCACAACTTGGATAATCAATTTCTGAGTAAGAAAGCTGACTGCAATCACTGACATGTAAAAGTACTTGGATCACAATGTCACCCTCCCCAGCGTATCAGCAAAGTATAGTCAGTATTTAAGTAACAATTCTGGAGACCGCACAGGCTCCAGAATTCAGCCACCTACAAATGTCAAGATTGATACTCCTTAAAAACTGGAGGCTAGGGATCCCTGGGTGGCGCAGTGGTTTGGCGCCTGCCTTTGGCTCAGGGCGCGATCCTGGAGACCCGGGATCGAATCCCACGTCGGGCTCCCGGTGCATGGAGCCTGCTTCTCCCTCTGCCTGTGTCTCTGCCTCTCTCTCTCTCTCTCTGTGTGTGACTATCATAAATAAATAAAAATTAAAAAAAAAAAAAAACTGGAGGCTAAGGCGCATGGGTGGTTCAGTGGTTAAGCATCTGCCTTTGGCTCAGGTTGTGATCCTGGGGTCCTGGAATCGAGTCCCATATAGGGCTCCCTGTAGGAAGCCTGCTTCTCCCTCTGCCTGTGTCTCTGCCTCTCTCTGTGAGTCTTTCACGAATAAATAAATCTTGAAAAACAACAATAACAACAACAACGAACTGGCACCTGTTGGTCTGCGTTGGCCATTCAGCAACTAAATTCCATAAAAAGAGAGAAACTATCAAAGTGCCTGTTTTACAGGGGTTATGCTTGAGCCTTTAGCTCATCATCCTCTACAGGTGAAGTACATGTTTAAAATGAGGAAAACAGGCTGAGAGATCTTAACTTTGTCTAAAAGCATGAAACTTGGGAGCAGAGCTCCAAGTGTGCTCCCACCATACACACATCCCTAGTTCTCTACCTCATTAACACGTTGCTCCATCTGGACAGCTCCATCTTCCCCTAATCCTTGCAATCCGAAAAACGCCTCATTATAGTTTTAAAACCTTACCCAAACGTCACCTCAGTAAAGTGGTCTGGAAGCCTCAGTCATCCTCCCTTCTGCCTCCCACAGCACTTTTCCCCACCACATCACATGTCCCCTATTCAGCCATGCACATCCCCCGCATTCCGTCTGTCCCACCACCCCATGACAGAGTTCCTACAGAACCAGGACAGGGTCTTACTGGCCTTTGCATACACCACACTCAGGTGCCTGGTACATAGGATGAGTCTCAATAAACGAACGTTTAGGGCAGCCCGGGCGGCTCAGCGCCGCCTTCAGCCCAGGGCATGACCCTGGGGTCCGGGGATCGAGTCCCACATCGGGCTCCCTGCATGCAGCCTCCTTCTCCCCCTGCCTGTGTCTCTGCCTCTCTCTCTCTCTGTCTCTCACGAATAAAATAAAAATAAAATAAAAATAAATGAACGTTTAATTAGGTCAATGAGCGGGCCTCCCTCCTAAACCTTAAGCTACTAGATTATAAAAGTATCAGCACAAAAAGCAACTTACCTTCAACACTGCAGGTGGGTAAGGGACAGACCCCTGGCGTCTCTAAGCCCTCCCTCCCTCCCTCCCCCCGCCTCCACGTCACGGCAGTCTCCACGGCGCCCGGCGCAGGACAACCAGTACTTCTATACAGTGGACCCTCAACAAGATAACGATAATGAAGTCCAACCCCCAACTTCAGCGAAGGCTGAGAGGCGCCGTCCTTGCGCGGAAATACGTGTACGGCCGAAGTCAGGGCTCAAACCAAAGACCCCGACAGAAGTCTGCAGCCCGCCTTCTGAGCGCCTCAGGCTCCTATGCCGTGTCTCGGGGGGTTCGCTCCGGCCCGCAGATGCCCTCGGCCTTCCGGAGCCCGGCCGCAGGCCGCCCCGCGTCCCGCTCCCCGCTTCCCGCGGGCGCCCGCCTCGCGGTCCCTCCGCCCTCCCCCGCCAGTAAAGCCGTCGCCGGGCGACCAATCCTACGGCCGCCGGCGGGTCACGTGGGCGGCAGCCTCTGTGGGCGTGGTTGCGAGGAGCAGCCAATCGGAGGGCGAGGCGGCCGTCGGGGGTGGAGCGGCCGGAAGGCGGGGTCGCCTTTTGCGTCGCTTCCGCGCTTGGGGTCTGTGGCCGCGGGCTCGTGCGTTTCCCGGTTCTGAGCCTTCCTGCTGCCTCTCAACCCCGTTCCTTGGACTTTTGGGACGTCTGTTGCCGGTTCCTTGCTTCAGCAACTGCAGAGGGCATCTGAGAGAGTTGTGCCCTGCCTGGATTTCTGGGAAGAATTACCGATTGGGCTAGGGATCCGACAGGGTTTCCTGCGCATGTCCGATCCCCGCGGGAGGCCTAGGGCCCGGGGTGGACGGAGGAGGGATGCGTCCCTCTCCGGCCCGGGATCTCTTTGGCTGGCCGGGCGCCTGGACGCTTCCTGGATAAGCAGGAGATGCCACGAGAAGAGTGCAGCTGAATATCAAAGAAATGCGCAGGAGAGCGGGAAGGACTTCCTGGGAGAGGTGGCATTTGATCTGAGTCTTAAAGATGGATAGGTTTTAAGAAGTAGGAGATGCTGGGAGACGGAATAGTTTAACGCCCGTATTAAATGGTAAAGCATTGGGGGAACTTACAAATTTAGGAAAAGTCGAAAAAGTGTAGAGTTTCAAAATTCGGTGAGTTAGAAACACCGGGAGGAAACGTCACAATATATAATGTCCTATAGCATCAAAAGTCCAAAAAAAAAAAAAAAACAAAAACCCAAAATAACCTGGGACACAGTCCAGACTTACTGAATCAAATATTCGAGGTTTGGAGCCCAGGCAGACGTATTTTTAAGAGGTGCCCCAGGGATGATTCTGATTCACACCAAAGTTTGAGGACCACTGTTAGTGTTAAAGAAAGGGGGTGGTAGGAGATTTGAAAGACAAATCAAGACTTTGTCAAGGATGGGGGCTAGCTGGCTGTGTAGATTACACTACTCTGGAGTCACTGGGAAATTTGAAGATTTCAGTCAGAGGAGGTGGATGATCAGAAAACTGTACTTTAGAAAACTCTAAATGCAGGGCACCTGGATGACTCAGTGTTTGAGCGTCTGCCTTTGTTTGGGTAGTGATCCCGGGGTCCTGGCTTCTCCCTCTGCTTATGTCTCTGCCCGCTTTGTGTGTGTCTCTCATGAATAAAGACATAAAATCTTAAAAAAAAAAATAAATGCAACTGTGTTTTTAAATAGATTGAAGGAAGGCAATGTAAAAGAAGGGGGGCTATTGCAAGTGATTGCAATGTTTTAGGTGACAGGAGCCTAAATTACTGTTGTGGCAGTAGAAATGGGGAGGTATTATATGAAAAGCATGTGAGGAATATGATGAATGTCAGGTAGGGATCAGAAATGGAGGTGGTATATGAAAGGCAGGCGAGGAATGTGATGTCAGGTTGACGGTGTCAAATAGGAAAATTGAGGCAAGCTCAAAATTGTCAAAAAGATGGGTTTATTCGGGAATTGCAGTTCGAGACATGCAAACTGTAGCAAACCACAGTGAGTTCCTTGAGGGTTTAGGGTAGGCTGTATTAATGGGCAGGGAATGTAAGGAGAAGAGAGCTCAGTTAGAGCCTGTTAAAAGCCACAGGAGACCAGCTTTGAAAATGCACCAAGCAGACCAAACTAGTCCAGTCATATAAACAAAACTCAATTCAGCTTATGTTGCAAGACCAACCCAACCTAGGTCATTTCTTGTTCATACCTCTGGAAGCCACGTGCAAAACTTCCCAAGGTTGATAGGAGGCAACCCCTGACCAAGTCCCAATCATTTAAGAAAATTCCAATATCAGTTTTCTGTAAATGACGCATTTATGGGAAATGAGTCAATCCTTAAGTTTTATCTCCCTGAGGGCACGTGTGTGAAATTCATTTTATATCCTCTGGTTACATTTTTTGTTTAAAAGATTTTATTTGACAAACAAGGGAAGCAGACACTACGTACAGAACACAGTAAGTGCTTCATAATTGCTTCTCAACTGAAAAACTGACATTATGTGCCAGGCACCGTGATAAGCTCTTTATGTACATCATTTCATTTCATTCTCACAAGAATTGTGCAGGGAAGGAAGGCACTGTTACTGTCTCCAATTCATACAGAAGGCATTTGACACTTAGATTTGCATAACCAGTTCTCAAAGCTAGAAAGTGCCAGAGCAAGGATTTCAATGTCTTTGGTGTTCAAAAAAATAGCTGGTTGGGGCAGCCCCTGTGGCGCAGCGGTTTGGCGCCGCCTGCAGCCCAGGGCGTGATCCTGGAGACCCTGGATCAAGTCCCACATCGGGCTCTCTGCATGGAGCCTGCTTCTCCCTCTGCCTGTGTCTCTGCCTCTCTCTCTCTCTCTGCATCTCTATGAATGAATAAATAATCTTAAAAAAGATTAAAAAAAAAGAACAACAGATTTATTAAAAAAAATAGCTGGTTGAATGAGAGAATGAAAGTTAGGAGACCTACCCAGTGTCAGTTAGTGGCAAGGGAGAGTCAGCATGGTTGCTCTTGGTCACTGTGCTCTCCATAGTCTTTGAATCATCTCTCTGAATGAACTGAGAGAAGGTAGAAGCCAGTATTTGGCAGTTTGTGTCTACGTCTAAAGGCTGTGCCCTAACTACCTTTGTTGATAAACTGAAGTGCTTAGTTGAAGAAACACATCTTAAATTGGAGGCTCTGGCGTTTAGCCAGTTGTCAGCAGCATGGCCAGATCGATTTCCCAAGAACTAAGAAAGAGCACTGCCCAAGCTATTGATTTCAAGTTGTTTTGTATCATGGACATTTGCACTGATGTATCAGAGTCAGGATGTGAGATCCTCTCTGGCCTGATGACCTAACCATTCATATCCAGGAGGCTTAACTAAGGAAATTCGAAGAAGGAAGAGAAACTCCCTCTGTTCATCATTCACATTGTCCCTCCTTCTCCCAATTTGGTTCCCCAGAGTGCACTGAAAAAGGAGGAGGAGGAGGAGGAGGAGGAGGAGGAGGAGGAGGAGGAGGAGGAAAGGAAGGAGAAGAAGAAAAGGGGAGGAGAAGGAGGAAACAATCCAGTTCCTAGTTTTCCTGCCCAAATAATGTTCTTCTTGTTCACTGGGAAGAAAAAGAGGGATGTTTAAGTAGGTTTCAGATTTTGAAGACTCCTAAGCAGTCCAAAATCCCACACTTGAAAGGCAGCGGAAGTAGTAGGTGCATTTGTAGTCGGCAGACGTGGCTTTGAGCCCTGACTCTCTTACTGGCCATGTAACCTCGGTATCCATGTGGTGTGTCACACTGTCACGCTCCTGGATTGACCTCTTGTATCCCAAAGCACATGTCCGGTAAATGATGGTCATTTTTATCTTTCTAAACATATCAGAAGGATATCAGTGTGAGAGTGAGGCTGAGAGTTGAGCAGGTGACAGAACAAAAAGTGAGATGGAATTTAGAGGTAAAGTGTGTGAAAAGGCTGAACGCAGGCCTTTGGAGTTTATTATGTTGCCGTGCTGATTGTGCATGATAGCATCTGTTCTGTCTTCCATCCTGGAAACTGGTTCAGACAAACAGGTGTAAAGGGGTAATGCCAGCAAAGCAGAACTTGGTAGGAACAGTAACCTCAGTTACTTTTAAAAACTAGGGATGTCCAGAAACCTACTTGAGAATGTCAGGTCACGATGAACAAATTAAAACACAGGCAGAGGTCAAGGTGGCATCGCCCAGCTGCTTGTGGCTCCTGGTCGTCACTCTCCTGCCGGGATCCGGCGCTGCCCGGGTGCCGTGGCGTGTCGACCCGGCCACGCCGCTGCCGCTGGTGACTGGCATGGGATGGAAGACAGCTGTTATAATCCCTTAAGCATGAGAGCTATCAAAAAAAATGGTTGAGAAAAAAATACCCGGAATTTACATCTTATCTTTAAAGATTGGGAAGACCCTGATGGAGGATGTGGAGAACAGCTTCTTCTTGAATGTCAATTCCCAAGTAACAACAGTGTGTCAGATTCTTGCTAAGGATCTTAAATTGCAGCAAGGCTACAATGCTATGGGATTCTCCCAAGGAGGCCAATTTCTGAGGGCAGTGGCTTAGAGATGCCCATCACCTCCCATGATCAATCTGATCTCGATTGGGAGACAACATCAAAGTGTATATGGACTCCCTCGGTGCCCAGGGAGAGCTCTCACATCTGTGACTTGATCAGAAAAGCACTGAATGCTGGGGCTTACAACAAAGCTATTCAAGAACCCCTGGTGCAAAAAAAAAAGAATCCCTGGTGCAAGCAGAATACTGACACGACCCCATAAAGGAGGACATGTATCACAACCACAGCATCTTCTTGGCCATATTAATCAGGAGTGAGGCGTCAATGAATCCTACAAGAGAAACCTGATGGCCTTGAAGAAGTTTGTGATGGAGAAATTTCTCAATGATTCTATTGTGGATCCTGTGGACTCTGAGTGGTTTGGGATTTTACAGAAGTGGCCAAGCCAAGGAAACCATTCCCTTGCAGGAGACCTCTCTGTACACACAGGACTGCCTGGGGCTAAAGGAAATGGATAATGCAGGACAGCTAGTGTTCCTGGCTGTAGAAGG